GAGAGAGAGAGAGAGAGAGAGTTTTGTTATTTAAAATTTACTTTCCAAGTGATAGAAAAATTATTTTCTTATTTTTCTAAGACAAACAAAATGATAAGTCTAATGGGGTTACCCCATTAAACTTAGATAACAAATAAAAGTAAATAAAAATAAAGAAGATAAAAAGTAAATAAAGATAGAACCGTTATACATCTTTTATCTTTTACATCTTGTGCGGGTACTAGCCCATGGAAGAAGAAGCACCTAGCTCTAAGTGATCCTAATCGTAGCTCTTCTGATCTTTCTCTTCGTCCATACCCTTATGCTTTGTTTGGTAAGAAGGAAAGAAAATGGGAGAGAAAGGAAAACTATAATGCATAGAAAATTAGAAGGATAGAAAAGATTTTGATTTTCTCTTGACTTGTTTGGTATGATAGGAAAGAAAGAAAATGAATCTACCTTCTCTTGTTTGGTATTGGAAGTAAAACTGAAGAGATGGAAAAATTCTTATTGGTGTAATTACTTTTTTGCCTAAATATTTTTTATTAATATTCTTTTCTAATAAAAGTATAAATAATACAGTATTCAACGTCAAATTAACTCAAAAAATTCATGTAACTTAAACATATATTCTATCTATATTATGTATATATATACACATACATATATAAAGGTGCAAAAACACAGGTGGCGTTTGGAATTCGTTCCAAAATGATTTTGTTTTCTGTATGAAAATGAAAATAAAAACGTTTTCATTTCTATTTTGGAATCATTTCTGAAAATGCGTTTGGTAGTTTTATTCTGAGATTATTTTCAGTTTTAAAAAACTGAAACTGCATTTGGCGGTTTAATTTTTAAAAACATGAAATAGTATTTTAAATAATAATATATTAAATAAGTAATAATTGAATCTCAAATAAAAATACTAAAAATTAAAATAATAAATTACATTACATTACAAATAAATAATAAATAATTTAAAAAAGTTTACTTCGTATCCAATCTTAAATAGCATAAATGCAGGAAAATTATAATCCAATACACTCATATCTTGTATCCAAAAAAATGCCGTCAGAACAATGTGAAACCTGTTTCTCCATTTCCCAAATACTTTCAAACATTTCCCAAATACTTTGGCCAAACTCCTTCTCCCGCACGCGTTGGACTGCATCAAAGTGTCCTGGTGTGCTAAGTGGAGAGAGAAAGCCCATTGCCTATTTATCTCTTCTTTCTGAAAAAAAGCGCCAATTTTAGAGCCAAAATGAGGACAATTTAGTAATTTAGGTAGTTATTCACATTTTTCTTCTTAAAATCCTCCCACTTTTGGAGGGATTAAAAATGGTGGGACCCACCAATTATAATTTCCTTTCAATTTTCTTTTCCTTCCTAATTTCCTTTCTACCAAACAAGTTAATTTACTAATTTCCATCCTAAAATCCCTCCAACATTTTCTTTCCTTCCACTTTTCATTCATACCAAACATAGTGTTAAGTGGGACTAGGCTAAGGGCACATAATAACTAAAGAGTGTGTTTACTAGGAGGGATGGATGAGGGTGGAGGGAGAGATGTGCAGGAAAAGTCTATTTTACCCTCCAAAAGAAATTATTACCAAATACTAAAATGGACAATATAGTAATTAGCTAACTAGTCATCATCCATCATTTCAACTCTCTCTCCTTCATACCAAACAATATAAAAGATTACCATAATCCTCTCAATTCTTCATATTTCCCGTCTATTTAACTCTCACCATCATTCATACTCTCCATCACTGCTACTAAACAGAGCCTGAAAGAAAATGGTTTTCATTAGGTTCCCCAAAAAGACTATCAAAATATTTATTTTATTTATTTTATACGTTTGGTCTTATTATTATTATTATTTATTTTTATCCCATTTTTCCTTCTTTTTTTTTCTCTTTCTTGCTTTCTCTTTCCAACAATTTTTTGAGGATAAACTTTTAAGTAGAGTTCTGTCTTGGTGTTATTCTTTTTTTTTTTCCTTGTCTCTCTTTTTCCTATTTTCATTTTTATGTCCTATCATAAATATATATTTTTTAATTTCTCCTTAAAATAATTTCTTCTTGTATATATTCTCGTCTTTTTAAAATTATGTTCCCCTTATTAAACATTTCATAAGGTTCTGTTTTTTTTTTTTTACTTTCTTTTCTTTTTTCCTTTCGATTTTTCCTCTTTTTTTTTATTTTTATCTTTATTGTCTTATTAGACCTTCTTCATTTTTTTTTTATTTTTTCAAATAATACTCTAATAAATTTTAAGAAAGTAAAACAAATAAAATTCTATAATCTATAATCCCAGCTGAAAAATAGGTAATCTACAGGCTATAAATCTATAATCTATAAATATATAATGTTTTAAAAAGTACTGTTCAAATGAACAGTACTTTAACCACGTTTTGCTCCCTTTCTGTTTTTTTTAATGTTTTCTTTTCCATCTTCTATTCTTTTTTACTTTTTTCCTCAGAATTTTATATTTGTCGTTCTTGTCCATCTTTTTAACTACTTTCTTCTATTTACTCATTTTTTTTTTCAGATGTTATCCCATTTAGATATTTTTTTTCTGTTAGTGCCTTAAAACTTATTTACTTCTTCATTTTAGTCCTTTTGACTCATTTTTAATTTTTAATTTGAAATTTTATTTTTCTTTTATTTTAGTTTCTTTTGCGCTAAAATTTATTTATTTATTTATTTTGGATCTTTTAAGCCTTTTAAGCCTTTTTTTATTTTTGCACTAAAATTTTAAATTTTTTTCCCGTTTTAGAACCCTTTTTTGCCATTTTTTATTTTAGTCCTGAAATTTTATTTTATTTTTTTGTTCTGGTTCCTTATCCTTTCCTTCATTTTGGTCCTTTTACTAGCCTAGTTTTTATTTTTACCCTGAAACTTTATCTTTTTCTTGTTTTGGTCCATTTTGTTCTAAACTTATTTATTTCTATATTTTAGTCCTTTTTAAACCCTTTTTCCTGAAATTTTATTTCATTTTCTATTTTGTTCCTTGTACTCTAAAATTTATTTATCTTTTTCATTTTGGTCCTTTTTTTGACCCATTTTTTTCATTTTTGCCATGAAACTCTTTTTTCCTTATTTTGGTCCTTTTAACCCTAAAACTTTATTTATTTCTTCATTTTTAGTCTTTTTTGACCTTTTTTGTCTTAAAACTTTTTTTTTTTTCATTCTAATTTTGTTTTAAGATTTTATATTCAGATATTATATATTTTTAATAATAATATGGTAATTAAAATTTAACACGTGTGTTAGTCCCAACTTGCTATGAGTTCAACTAGTATAATAAACGTTCCATCCCTCACATCAATGATCAAACATTGTAATGCAATGATAAAACCTAGCGAATTCCTGTAATTCCTTCGCTTTCAAGTTCAGACAACCCAAAAGTATAAAATAAAAAAAGTAAATAAAACCAAAAGACAAAATCCGTGTCTCTTTGTTCTTTATCGTTTTATTAAAAGACAACATTTTCTTTGCAATTAATGCTATTATTAAATATTAAGTTAAGGTTTACTTCATGAAATTTTTAAAATTTAAATTTTTTATAAGAGAAAAATACTATAAAAGACTATTAATTATGATTTAAAATCAGAGACCGATAAATGAAATAAACATCCTATAAGTTTCTTCTATTATTAAAGATTAATTTTCTTAAGCAATATTTTGCAATAAAGATTTTTAGAGACAATGAAGGAAGGCATTTTTTTTTTTTTTTTGGAAAATAATGGACAGAAAAACATAAAATTATTTTAGAATGAGTTTCAAATGCACCCATTATTGCCGTGTTTAGAATTATTTTTGTTTTTATTTTTCACGTTTTTTGAAAAAGAAAAAATAAAAACGATTCTGAAACGGCGTTTGACACAATTAAAGATAAAAAACAGAACTGAAAATAATTTTTTGGTTTAATATAAAATGGGTCATTTTTGCGCGTTTAAAACTCATTTCAAAAGGATTTTTTATGTATGAAAATGAAAATAAAAACGTTTTTAATCTCAGACAGAAATCATTTTTAAAAATGCGTTTAGTAGTTTTATCAAAGGATTATTTTCAATATAAAAAAACCTATTAATGTCTCTTTCTCTGCTCGAGAGAGGAGAAAACGAAAACAAAAAATGAAAAATGACTAAAAGTCGTTTTTCATTTCTCTCTCATTTTACACTAAACTAAAAAATCGTTTTCATTTTCATTTTTTGTCTTTATTGCGCCAAACGCCGTTTTGAAAACGTTTTCATTTTTCTTTCTCGAAAAACGTGAAAAATAAAAATATTTCTTGTTTTCGTTTTCTCCTCTCTCGAGAAGAGAGACATTATTTAGTTTTTTTATATTAAAAATAATCTCTTGATAAAACTACCAAACACATTTTTAAAAATAATTTATGTCTGAGATTGAAAACGTTTTTATTTCCATTTTTATACAAAAAATAAAGGCTGTATTTAGAATTGATCTTGTTTTTATTTTTTACATTTTTTAAGAAAAAAATAAAAACGTTTCTAAAACGGCGTTTGACGCAATAAAAACAAAAAAAGAATGAAAATTTTTTTTTGGGTTAATATAAAATGAGAGAGAAATGAAAAACGATTAGAAAAATGACTAAAAGTCATTTTTCATGTTTTGTTTTCGTTTTCTCCTCTCTCGAGCAGAGAGAAAGAGATAGAGACATTAATGAGTTTTTTATACTGAAAATAATCTTTTAATAAAATTACCAAACACATTTTTAAAAATGATTTCTGTCTGAAATTGAAAACATTTTTATTTTTATTTTTATATAAAAAATAAAATTATTTTAGAATAAGTTCTAAATACGCTTAAAATCATTTTAGAACGAATTCCAAACACACTCGAGAATTGAAAATTGCTTTTTAATCACGTGTATATAAAAAAAAAAGAAGAATGTAAATTGAAAAATATGTGGATTTATGACTGGGCAAGGCAAGGCCTTCTTTCTTCCGTTAACTTGCTAAATCCACCATTTCTCTCGCGCCCAATTCGCCTTCTTACTCTCTCTCTCCGATTCCGAGAGATTTTCTTGTTCTATTTTCCTTCACTTTCTCGATCATTTTCTTTCCCGTTTCTGCCATAATCGCACGACATCTCCAGTTCTCGTCGGATTTTCTTCCTCCAAGGTAAGCCATCTTCTTCTTCTTCATCTTCTCTTCGACGTGGATTTTTAGCCTAATTTGTTGAATCTCAATGTCTGCGTCATTCTGATATGTGCATTTTGTCCGAGCTTGTATTCACAACAAGAAAGTTCGATCATTTTAGTGTTTTGTGTACGCATTTCGTTTGTTGCACTTGATCGATCCGCTGCATTGGTCAATCGTCCAATGCGAGAGGAGATCGATCTTCGTTTTTGATAATTCGCTCAAATCAAGTAAGATTGTCCTTTGTGATTTTGTTCCTGTTATGGATCTATGGTAAAATTTGATTTAGCCCTTACCTTTTTAAATCTGTAAAATTGGCAAATCTTTCTGTAGTTGGTTTCTCAGAACTCAGAAGCCAAAAAAAAAAAAAAAAAAACAGAAAAGGAATATCCAGATTTATATGTTATGGAAGATTCACCTTAACATAGCTACGTGACAGTATTATATGTTCCAGCTTATTGGTGATTTTAAGGTAGCATTTTAAGATTCATTAGTGACTACTTAGTACCAAGAAAACCAAGGTAACTTTGAACAGCTGGAGTTTTGTAAAGTATCTCAAAATTTCTCATAATCAATCAGGGAAAATTATTGCCTATGTGTTTGTTAAGAAGTGTTCCTCAACAAAAAATGTTCTGATTACGTGTAGCTCGCTTACTTTAATAATTTTTGTAGGTAGCTTGGATTGCATATAATTTGAATGACTTCTGAAGCAGTATTATAATGGAAGAAGGAGAAATAAAGGAGATTGATGAAATCTCCAGGAAGGATTCGGATAATCATGAAGTAGTTGGTGGTGTACATAGAGATACTGGTTCATCTCAGCAGGAGAATATTAATATTACTGGTGGTGATGAAGCTGTGATTAGTAATAATATTTCAGTCTTGGATGGGGTTGATTTAGTAGATGTAGCTGTGGATGAAGATCAGTTTGAGCAGGTTTCTTTGACAGATCAAGAGAAAGCTGTTGTTCCTAGGAGTAGTGATGTCGATTCAAACCGATCGTCAAATTCAGATAATGCAAGATACTCATATGGTAGGTTTGAAGATGCTGCGCAATTTTCACTTGTTGCATTTACTGCTGAATCTGATTCGTCCCCAGTTCGCCAAATACAGCATGATCACCCTTCTCAGAGCTCTCATCACGACAAACGTTTTGACTCTATCAAACCATCTACCTCATCTACTAGTATTGATTCTGCTTTACATGAGGACGCTTCGATTTCGTCTGCTGGTTCTCCTGCAAATCCTAAAGCAAAAGCTGCTATGCCAAATGTGTCTCCAGAGTTATTGCATTTAGTGGATTCTGCTATTATGGGAAAGCCAGAAAGTTTGGAAAAATTGAAGAAAATTGTTAGTGGGGTGGAGAGTTTTGGAGCCGGGGAGGAAATGGAGAGCATTGCTTTATTGGTAGTCGATTCACTTATTGCAACTATGGGTGGCGTTGAAAGTTTTGAAGAATATGGGGATAACAATCCTCCTAGTGTAATGCTAAACTCTCGGGCTGCCATTGTGGCAGGTGAACTCATTCCTTGGCTCCCTTGGGAAGGTGATAGTGATGTTGTCATGTCCCCTCGGACGCGGATGGTTAGGGGGTTGCTTGCAATATTACGTGCTTGCACAAGAAATAGAGCAATGTGTTCTATGGCTGGTTTGTTAGGTGTTCTTTTCTGGTCAGCAGAAAACATTTTTACGGAAAATGTGGGCTCAATGGAAGAAATGAAATGGGATGGAACTCCTTTGTGCTACTGCATTCAGTACTTAGCAGGGCATTCATTGAGTGTCATTGATTTGCACAGATGGTTTCAAGTAATTACAAGAACGCTTACTACTGTTTGGGCAACTCGCTTAATGCTTGCTTTGGAGAAGGCGGTGGGTGGAAAGGAATCAAAGGGACCAGCATGTACTTTTGAGTTTGATGGTGAAAGCTCTGGTTTGCTTGGTCCAGGGGAAAGTCGTTGGCCATTCACAAATGGGTATGCATTTGCAACATGGATTTACATTGAATCATTTGCAGATACATTGAATACAGCAACTGCTGCTGCAGCAATAGCTGCTGCAGCAGCTGCCAAGTCAGGAAAATCTTCAGCTATGTCAGCTGCTGCTGCTGCCAGTGCACTCGCTGGTGAAGGGACAGCACACATGCCACGCCTGTTCAGTTTTTTGTCTGCTGACAATCAGGGAATAGAGGCATATTTTCATGCACAGTTCTTAGTGGTTGAAATTGGCAGTGGAAAAGGAAAGAAGGCTTCTTTACATTTTACTCATGCATTCAAGCCACAATGCTGGTACTTCATTGGTCTGGAGCATACTTGCAAGCAAGGGCTGCTTGGAAAAGCAGAGAGTGAACTGAGATTATACATTGACGGATCATTGTATGAATCACGACCTTTTGACTTTCCTCGAATCTCCAAGCCACTTGCATTTTGTTGCATAGGGACAAACCCCCCTCCGACAATAGCTGGTTTACAACGTCGTCGTCGTCAATGCCCTTTGTTTGCTGAGATGGGACCTGTTTATATTTTTAAGGAACCAATTGGTCCAGAAAGGATGGTACGCCTGGCTTCTAGAGGAGGGGATATGCTTCCTTCATTTGGCCAAGGAGCAGGGTTGCCATGGCTTTCAACAAATGACTATGTGCAGAGTATGGCAGAGGAAAGTTCACTTTTAGATGCAGAAATTGGAGGATGCATTCATCTTCTCTATCACCCTAGTTTACTTAGCGGGAGATTTTGTCCTGATGCTTCTCCTAGTGGCGCCGCAGGTTAGATAATTTATTATTTCTTAGTCATCATTGTTTTTGGTATATTAAAGTCCTATCCTTCTCATATTTGGGGTTTCAAGGACATAAAAGAGAGTGACGAGGTCTATACTCGTATTTTCCACAGTGGCGGCTGTCACACATATGCATTTGCATTTGCATTATTTTCGAGTGAAGCGCCTGCTAAATTTGGGTATGCGTAGAGAGTGAAATATATTTTTTTAGGAAAATATTGTTGTCATTATTCTGCTCTCTTTTTCCCTCTAACCTTTTTCTTGCTATCTTTCTTCTTGCTTTTTCCCTTAATTACAAGAATTTGTATGATTGGCACCTTTTCTTGTTCTTTCTCTATGGTAGCATGCCAGTAGACAACAATTGAAACCTTGTTAGGGAAATGGCAGAGGGGTTAAAGGTTTTTATTTTACATTATTTTTTAATAAGAAAGGGATAGTTTTTCTTGTGTTTCAAATTTTATATTTCAAATTTTGATATGAGATACGGTTGTGCAAAATTAAGGGAGAATTTCTCTTTTGTGTTTCTCTTATATTGCTTATTCTCTCTCAATGAATACTTCAGGCATACTCAGACGGCCAGCTGAGGTTCTTGGACAGGTCCACATTGCTATGCGAATGCGACCAGTGGAGGCTCTATGGGCCCTGGCATATGGAGGTCCAATGTCTTTGCTTCCTCTTGCAATTAGTGATGTGCAAAACAATAGCTTGGAACCACAACAAAATAATTCTTCTTTGTCAATGGCTACTGCTTCTCTTGCTGCTCCAATATTTAGAATAATTTCTATGGCTATTCAGCACCCCAGGAACAATGAAGAGTTAAGTCGTGCCAGAGGACCTGAAGTTCTATCAAGAATCTTAAATTACCTTCTGCAAACTTTATCATCTCTTGGTACCGGAAAGCATAATGGTGTGGGGGATGAGGAACTTGTTGCAGCTGTTGTGTCCCTCTGTCAATCTCAGAAAAATAACCATTCACTTAAGGTGCAGCTGTTTAGTACGCTGCTCCTGGATCTTAAAATTTGGAGCTTATGTAATTATGGACTGCAAAAGAAGCTTCTATCATCACTTGCTGACATGGTTTTCACAGAGTCGTCTGTAATGCGAGATGCTAATGCCTTTCAAATGCTTTTGGATGGCTGCAGAAGGTGCTATTGGACTATTCGCGAAACGGACTCTGTGAATACCTTTTCTTTAAATGAGGCAACACGACCTGTTGGTGAAGTGAATGCATTGGTTGATGAACTGTTGGTGATAATTGAACTTCTAATAGGAGCAGCACCTCCTTCGTTGGCTTCAGATGACGTCCGTCGTTTACTTTGGTTCATGGTTGATTGTCCACAACCCAATCAGGTGACTTTAGTTTGCGAAACATTACCTTTTTTTTTTTAATTTTTAATTTTTATTTTAGTAGATAGAAATATAATTCATATTTTGGTGTGAGTCACGCCTTAAATACAGGTCGTAGACCTTTTATAATTTTCTTAACCGTCTTTTACGGAGTTATGGCATTGATGGCTTGAAAGTGAATTGGCTTTAAAGTGAATGGGATTTCTTACATTGTACTTCTGGGTTTTCAGCAGAGTTTTTTGCTTGAGGTACAGGTCTTTAGAAGAGAGTAGTATTGATGATGTTCTGAGACAGTACTTAATAGTGATTGAGGCGTTGCATATACAAGTATTCACGAATTATTGAATTAGGTCTTATCTTGTGTTCACTAACTTTAAATCTTTGAACTTCTGGAAACTTCTTGTAATTTTGTTTGATCAACAAAGTTTCTTGTTTCTTATATAAAAAAAACTTTGAATCTTTGAACTTTTTATAACCTTCGTTAATCAAAATTGAGAACATGATGGGTGCGTTGGTTTCGTTTCCAAAACGTTTTTCACGTTTTTCAAGGAGGAAAAAATGAAATTGAAAATGAAACGGCGTTTGTTTAGGAAATGTTTTGAAAACGAAAACGAAAACAAAAACAGTGAGAATAATTTTTGTGAAGGAATTTGAAAAACAGTTGAAAGTTGTTTTCACTTTTCTGTTTTCATTTTCTAATACTTATCAACAATATTATAATATATTAATTAATAATTATGATCAAACACGATTTCACTCTTTTATTATACTCAAAACAATCTTTTAAAAAACCAACCAAACGCAATTTCAAAATCGTTTTCAGAATGATTCTCAAAACAATCTCATTTTTACTTTTTATTAAAAAAAATCATTTTAAAACCAATTCCAAACGCACCCGATAAGTTTTGCTCTTCAGAGGAAAACTCTTCCTCTGTTATACTTGTAAATAGTTATTTATTATTAATGAAATTTTGTCTCTGTTTCAAAAGAAGAAGAAAAAAATGATACTTCTGCAGTACTTGCTAATTTTTTATATGCACAGCTTTTAGCTATACTTATTATTATTATTATTTTTTAATTTTGTCTTCTAAATAAAGTATTTCTGTTCCACGTAGAAAAGATTTCTGAGGAAGTTTAGGTCACTTCTTCACGTTGGATGCCCGATGAAGTGGGAGCTGTGCTTCTTTGAGATCTTCAAGTTCTTTCTTTCTTTTTTTTTTTTTTTTGTTTTGTTTTTCATATTACTAGTGAGTGCAAACTTTGACCTTATTGTTATTGCTTAAATTTTGTTTTATGTCTTATGTTTAATTAAGGATAACTTGGGTGAGCTTTTTCGTATTGTTTTTCTCAACGTTTCTCCTAATAATTTCTTCTGCCAGGTTGCAAGGGTGTTGCATCTAATCTACCGCTTAGTGGTACAACCAAATACATCCAGAGTTCACACATTTGCAGAGGCATTTATAGCTTGTGGTGGGGTGGAAACTCTTCTGGTTCTACTGCAACGGGAAGCCAAAACTGGTGACTCTAGCGTTCTTGAATCCAGCACCAACAGCGACAAAACTTTGGGGGTTCAGGGACCTGAGCTAGATGGTGGAAGTGGGGAACCTGGAAAGTATGAGGATTATGAAACAGGACACAAAGAGAAGGAGCTCAGTTCCAGCGAGGATGTTGGTAAATCTGAGACCTCCAACTGTAGAGACAACCCTGCTCCTGTTTCCCCAAATGTCAGAATTGAAAGGATGGTTTCTGTTTCTGATAATTCTTTTCTTAAGAATCTGGGTGGTATCAGCCTTTCAATAAGTGCAGACAATGCAAGAAATAATGTTTATAATGTTGACAAGACTGATGGCATTGTTGTTGGAATCATTGGGCTGTTGGGTGCTTTAGTAGCATCTGGTCATTTAAAATTTGATTCATATGCTTCCTCAGATGTGACCAGTAATCTTCTGGGAACTGGACTGCATGATGGAGGTAGCACCATGTTTGATGATAAAGTTTCTCTCCTACTTTTTGCTTTGCATAAAGCTTTCCAAGCAGCACCAAAAAGGCTCATGACTAGCAATGTCTATGTGGCATTATTTGGGGCATCGGTACGATATTTTCTACTTTTTCCAATATCTTTTTTTTTTCCCAACAAATTTTTCATTGAAATGCTGAGAAAAATATGGGTTCTTGCAATCAGATCGCCATGTTTTTTTATTTAATTTACTTGGCCAAGATCTTATTGCTATCATGTGGGTATTTCTGCCCTTGTACTAGTAATATTTTCTCGTTTTATTACACTATCGCCATGTTTGTTGCTTAGATGTTAGAAACGAGTTTTTTGGGTCCTCTTTTTCATGACTGAATTTGGAGATTAGTTTGGCCCTATTTGTTACCATTTTCAAGAGGGTTCCACACATTTCCCGAGGCAATGAAAATGGAATTGGTTTCTAAATAGCGTTGGGAGAGCTAATATATGGAAATGAAAATGAAAACGAAAGCTGGCGAGATTGGCTTTAATATATGAAATTGAAAATTCTGAGAAGTTGTTTTCCCTTTTTTTGTTTTCATTTCTAGGGCTTATATACCCAATAAATATTTTCCGTAATATATCCAAACACAATTTCCACTCTTTTGCTATAGTCAAACCAATGTCTCTGGGAACACAACCAAGCACAATTTCAGAAATTATCCCAACAACATTCCCAAAAAATTCTCATTTCTATTTTCATTCCCAAAATAAAGCCATTTTCAAAATGCTACCAAACGGGCCCTTTATTTTCGGTGCTGCACTTATAGTATGCGACTCCTTTTGGTAATATTTTGATATCAGCGTCACTAATCATAGTCATATACATGGGTATACCCTTTATAAACCTCAAAAACCCGTCTGTCATTTTGTTGTCATTGGAGCTTAGCCTGTTGCAATGTAGTGGTAATGTTTAAGCTTATTTCTAATATGTTTGATGTTTGTTGTTTTATCTCCAGTCATAGTTTTATCATGATGAGAAACTAGGAATTTATCTCTGGTCATTACAGTGTTGCATTTTAGTACAACTATTTTCATTATTTATAAGTTTTTAGTATTAGTTTCTGAACCCCAGTTAGACTAGAGTTACAAACTATTAACTATTAATGTTGTTTCTTCACGCGTTTTTAGTATTAGTTTCTGAACCCCAGTTAGACTAGAGTTACAAACTATTAACTATTAATGCTGTTTCTTTTATTTCTCAACCTTAATCAATCTAGGCAGAGAATCTGTTCTCAACTGTCATTTATTTCACTGCTGTTCTGTTCATTCAAACTTAATGTTCTTGGCTAGCAGTTAATTAGATTTCTAACACTTGGAATTCTTGAAAAGTTACCTTTAAGGGCTGACTGTCTTTGCTGTAGCTAGGTTTGTTCAACTGGCAATTATTTTACTTGTTAAAAGTTGAATAAGCTGAAGACAGATCTGTTTCCGTCCCATCTTTTTGTCAGATCAATGCTTCTTCGACTGATGATGGGCTGAACTTTTATGATTCGGGTCATCGATTTGAACATTCACAGCTTCTCTTGGTTCTTCTACGTTCACTTCCATATGCATCTAGGTCTTTCCAAAGCCGAGCACTCCAGGTATCACTTTCATGTCTCTGATGCTATAACATGTTTCTGTAAGAATTTTTGAAGTACTTTGTACATTTTTCAAGTTCAACGAAAAAGGCCATCAGTAAAAGCATTAAAATCTTTGTACATGAATCGTTTAATGTTTTATTATTGCAAAAGAGGATGGATTTTATTTTGGGTACAGAGGTGGAGGAGGTGATTTAAGTGAGTCGATTTTTCAAAGATACGAAAAAATAATGGAATTCATATGATACCCGAGTTTGATAGCAATGCTCTGTTCCATGCTTTAATTAGACTTAGCTTTGTTTTAACATCTATTTCTATGCTAGGTATATATTGGCTTCTCTTTATATTGGTTTAATATTTACTCAGTTATATAACTGTTAAGCTCTCAAGCCTAATCAAGTGATAATCACACAACACACAAGGATCTGAGTAAATTCACTGAATCTTTGAAATTAATTCTGCAGAAAACGAGAACGAATACAAGATATGGGGGTTTTCGATACCCTCTCTCTTCTCTTCCTCCCAATTTATTTGGATCCCTCCTATTCGTTGCAGATTCCAACGCAAATAACTAACTAACAAACCTTTCCTATTTTCCCAGATCAACCCATCCCCTCGTGTCACTTAGCCCCCCTTTCTAACCGTCCTGAGGATTGTTTCCCTGTGCTGCGGCTTCCTTCTCCTTCCCTGTACCTGCATGATATTTCCTACGTAGTTTCTTCCGTACATAGGTGAATCGTAGGGGGGGGGGGTTTATCATTACCCCCGTCCCAAAGTCGCACCTTGTCCTCAAGGTGGAAATGAGGGTACTGTTGGTCCATGGCCTGATAGGATTCCCATGTGTCCTCATGGGCAGGTAAATTGGCCCAGCGTATCAGGACCTCTGGGTCTGGGCGTCCCCCGAGTTCTCGCCGCCGCACTCCAAGAAGGGCAGTTGGTTTTGCCCGCAGCTCCAAATCCTTCGTAAGGTGCGGTGGCAAGGTGGACACTGGCTGTCCTTGCCCAACAACCCAGCGAAGTTGCGAGACATGAAATACCGGGTGGATCGAGGACTCCGCTGGAAGGTTAAGGCGGTATGCTACCGGTCCTACACAACCAATAATCTCAAAGGGGCCATAGTAACGGGGGCTTAACTTCTCATTGCACTTGCGCGCCAAAGCTCATTTGTCGATAAGGGCGGAGCTTGAGGTACATAGAGTCCCCCACGGTGAATTGGACGTCCCGGCGCTTGCTATCGGCCACGGCCTTCATTTTCTGCTGGGCGCGAGAAAGATGGAACTTGAGGAGGTCCAACATTGCATCTCGGTCCATGAGGTGCTGCTCCACATAATCCACTGGTGAGGAGCATGTGCCATAGCGCAACAGGGGAGGTGGTGTGCGCCCGTATACAGCCTGAAAGGGAGTGGTGCGGGTGGCTGTATGGAAGGAAGTGTTGTACCAGTACTCCGACCAAACTAACCATTTGTACCATTGGCTGGGCTTGTCCGAAGTGAAACAACGAAGGTATGTCTCCACACACCTATTGACCACCTCAGTTTGGCCATCGGACTGGGGGTGGTAGGCCGTGCTCCGGGATAAAGTGGTGCCCATTTTCTTGTGGAGCTCGGTCCAGAAATGACTCATGAAGATGCGGTCGCGATCCGACACAATGGTATAGGGTACCCCATGAAGGCGCACTATCTCTCGAATGAAGAGTCTGGCCACTGTCTCCGCTGAGAAAGGATGCCTCAACGCCAGGAAATGCCCATACTTACTAAGCCGATCCACGACCACCAATATGGTGTCGTACCCCTCTGAACGCGGTAGGCCCTCGATAAAGTCCATCGAAAGATCTTCCCACACCCGGTCTGGAATTGGTAGGGGCTGTAGGAGACCGTTAGGGGCCAGTGTGGGGGCTTTACAGCGCTGGCACACCGCACATGTTGCCACGTAGGCAGTGACGTCTTTTTTCATTCCAGTCCAATACCACTCCGCTGCCATTCGTCTGTACGTTTTCAATACCCCTAAATGCCTGCCTAAGACACCATCATGGTAGGCATGCAGTAAAGTCTTGATAAATGGTGACTTCCGAGGCACCACCATTCGGCCGTGGTAAAATAGCCTGCCCTGATTGATGGAAAAACCTGGATGGGCTGTAGCATCCTGTTGGAGTTCGGCCCATATCTTAGCTAATTGTTCATCGTGCATTACCTGCTGGTGCAATTCTCCAAAGTCGGCTATTGGGGCCAGAGACAAGGCGCCCAAGTCCAGGGTGCTGCCACGGCGGGAAAGAGCATCCGCAGCCCTGTTGTTCGCTCCTGGTTTGTACTGGATCTCAAAGTCGTATCCCATCAACTTAGTCAGCCACTTTTGGTGTTCCGGGGATGCTAAGCGCTGCTCTAACAAATACTTGAGGCTACGTTGGTCGGTGCGTATCACGAAGTGTCGTCCCAAGAGGTTTGGCCGCCATTTCTGGATGGCTAGGACTATGGCCATCAATTCCCGTTCATATACGGATTTGTTGCGAGCTAGTGTGGACAGGGCTTGACTGAAGTAGGCTATAGGCCGTTGTTCTTGCATCAACACGGCCCCAACCCCATATCTGGAAGCATCAGTTTCTAGTACGAAGGGTTTATTGAATTCGGACAACGCTAGAACAGGCACCCTTGTCATGGCCTACTTGAGTGCAACAAAAGCGTTGCTGGCTGCCTCATCCCAGTGAAAGTTATCCTTCTGCAGCAGGTTGGTCAAGGGCCCTGCAATGTGGCTGTAACCTGCCACAAACTTTCTGTAGTAGCCGGTTAACCCCAAGAAACCTCGCAGCTCCTTCAAATTCATGGGAATAGGCCAATGCACCATGGCTTCCACCTTGGCAGGGTCTGCCGAAACCCCATCTCCAGACACAATGTGCCCCAAATACTTGATTGAGTTCTACCCAAAACTGCATTTTTTTCCATTGGCAAACAAGTGGTGCTGGTGTAAAACAGCCAATACCTGGTCCAAGTGGCACTCATGTTCCCCCACACTGCGGCTGTAAACCAAAATGTCATCAAAGAAAACCAAAACGAACTTGCGAAGGAACGCTCGGAGCACGTCATTCATGAGTGATTGGAAGGTTGCCGGGGCATTCGTGAGCCCAAACGGCATAACCAGAAATTCGTAGTGCCCCTCGTGTGTGCGAAAAGCGGTTTTAGGCACATCTTCCGGCCTTACGCGAATTTGATGGTAACCCGACTTGAGATCGATTTTAGAGAAGATGGTAGCCCGTGGAGCTCATCCAGTAGCTCATCTATTATCGGTATCGGAAAGCGATCCGGCACCGTCTCCTTATTGAGGGCCCGGTAATCCACACAAAACCTCCAGCTTCCATCCTTCTTCTTCACTAAAAGGATCGGGCTGGAATAGGGACTCAAACTAGGCTGTATAATTCTAGCTGCTAGCATCTCACCAACCAACCATTCAATTTTGTATCTGTGGATAGCGGTATGGCCTTACGTTAATCGGCGAAGTCCCCGCCTTCAACACAATTGCATGGTCCCTTGTTCGTTCTGGGGGCAATTCCGTCGGAGCCTCAAATACTACCGAGTGCCGTTGTAGCACGGTCTGCAACTCCACTGGCACCTTCGCATCCTCCCTCTCCTGCTCCATTCCCAGGGTATTCAACTCCACCCATATGCCTTGCCCCTCTTGTTTGAGGGTTCGCATTAAGGCCTTAAGAGTGACTGGGGATTTATTCAACCGTGGATCCCCTTTTAGTGTCACTTGCCGATCCCCCAAATTAAATTTCATCAGTAAGGTTTTCCAATTCACAGTCATCATCCCCAAGGTCTCCAGCCACTGAACTCCTAGAATGAGGTCGGCGCTGCCTAGCTCCAGGGGAAGAAAGTCTTCCACAATTTCAACCTCTTGCAGCGAAACCGCCACCCCACGGCAAACCCCTTCCCCTTTAATTGAAAATCCCGTTCCCATAACCACCCCATACCCTTCGGTCCGGTCTATAGGCAAATCCAAGCATCTCACTAGTTCGTACGAAATGAAATTGTGAGTTGCCCCACTGTCAATTAAGATTATTACCTCTTTTCCGCGTATAACTCCTCGAAGCTTCATAGTCTTCGGAGCGGTAAGTCCAACCACGGAGTTGATGGAGAGCTCCACCACTTCACCCTCCTCGAGTGTCTCCTCTTTTCCCTCATGCGTCTCCTCCTGCTCTTCCTCATCGCGCACGATGAGCACCTGCAACTCCCGATTAGGGCATCGGTGCCCGAACACATATTTCCCATCACAGCGGTAGCAGAGGCCCTTCTCCTGCTTCGCCTGAAGTTCGGCGTCGGTCAACCGCCGGAACGGTGCTGCTCCAGTTCTGCTGCCCATTGGTTGGTCCGAAGTGGGGGTCGTTCTTCCCCACGGCGCCACTCCCCCTCGTGGTCCAGAGCTAGCTGGAAATGAATCCCCCCTAGGTAAAGTCTCTGGGTTTCCTGGACTCGTTTTGTTTCCTGGGCTGTGATGTACGTTATGGGCCTTTGGGCCGCGTACCAATAGGTTACGCTCCTCCACCCGCTGGGCGAATTCCATGATCTGGCCCAATCCCTTGGGCGAAGCATACGAATTTCAGCCCGTATTTCTGGCTTCAATCCATTGATGAACGAGCTCTCAAGGACCGCTCGGAAACCTCTGTTAATGGAGCAGCCAACGTCTCAAAAAGCTTGCGATACTCTCGGATTGACGATTCCTGGCGCAGCAACAGGAATTTTTCGCATAGACTGCCCTCCTGTGTCGGGCGAAATCTCTCCAGCACCAACACCTTCAAGTCTGCCCAATCTCGTATCACCTGCCGGCTATCCTCCCACTGGAACCAAGCTAGAGCTTCTCCGTCCAAGCTCACCACCGCCACATCCAACTTCTCACTCTCCGTCATCTTGTTCATGGCAAAATACCTCTCAGCTCGGAAAATTCAGCCATCGGGGTTGTCTTTGTCGAAAGTGGGCATTTCTACCCTTCGTGTTTGGAATTCCACTCGATTTCTCCCGTTCACCGCCGGTTGATTCTCCATCATCCTCCTTTTCGTCGGAGTAGGCTCTCGGTCCGTTTCGGTTCTCTGACGCATCAGTTCGTCTAATTTTTCCAGCATCATTGCCATTCCTTGCTCCCAGCCTGGGAATCTTCTTCAAATCTTCCCTCACCATTTCCAATTCCCTCTGGAAATCCTCCTTCGTTCCCTCTGTCCTTTCTTTCTCGCGGTCGTCTGTCCTCTTCGTCATCCCCAAGAAGATGCTCTGGTACCAAAATGTTAAGCTCTCAAGCCTAATCAAGTGATAATCACACAACACACAAGGATCTGAGTAAATTCACTGAATCTTTGGAATTAATTCTGCAGAAAACGGAACGAATACAAGATATGGGGGTTTTCGAGTGACCCCGTGCACTCCTTCTCTTTCACAGTTTCTCACTTCTTCGATACCCTCTCTCTTCTCTCCCTCCCAATTTATTTGGATCCCTCCTATTCGTTGCAGATTCCAACGCAAATAACTAACAAACCTTTCCTATTTCCCCAGATCAACCCATTCCCTCGTGTCACTCAGCCCCCCTTTCTAACCGTCCTGAGGATTGTTTCCTTGTGCTTTATACAGTTGTAACTATAATGTGCTAGAATTCATGGTTTCATTGTCTTAACTTTCACCTGCGTATCAATTTCTGGGATTGACTCCTTGAAATCTATTTTTAAGCTAAGATGGTACTTTTCTATATCATTTCAGGATCTTCTGTTTTTGGCATGCAGTCACCCAGAAAATAGAATTGCTCTGACAAAAATGGAGGAATGGCCGGAATGGATTCTGGAGGTTCTTATCTCTAACTATGAGGTAATGTCTCCCGGCTTAACACTAAAGTTCTATTTGTTGTCTTTTCCATCCTTTACACAGTGAATTCTCTCCTTATTTGTGGGGAGCTCTTCAGCTATGTCCACATGAGGAGACTGATATGTAAAGTTGAGTGTTATCCCTGTTTAACTCAAAAGCACATGAATTTTAACTTTTACCTGGTAATTTTCTGGGAGATGCATCCCTACTTAGCATAACAATCCAATAAACTTGTTGATCTTATTGAACCTGGCGTTACATCCAAGACACCAAATTTATAACTTTTGACTTGGAATCCTTATTTCTTTCAGGTGAATGCGAGCAAAAGTTCTGATTCTGTAAGCCTTGGAGACGTAGAAGACCTGATACACAACTTCCTTATTATAATGTTAGAGCATTCAATGCGCCAGAAGGATGGGTGGAAGGTTGACATTTGTCTCTTTATTTTTTTTCCTGCTTTTGATTTATTTATTTATTTTTGCATTGTATATTTGGTTCTATGCCTCGTGTTGATTTTTACTTCTATGTATCATATTGTATGACCAAAGTGTTTTATGCTTATGATGTTGGTACCCTGGCTTTATGTGCCATGGTTTTGGATAAGGCTTTAACCACAGTTTAATCTTGACGAAATTGAATTGCATAAAACTAACAGGAAAAGGGAACTGAGCTCCTACTAGCTAATGGATAGAATTAATACCTTATTCTCTTATTAATTGGTTTCCTTCACTCTTTTTTTCTGTTGGCAGGACATTGAAGCTACCATTCATTGTGCAGAGTGGCTTTCCATTGTGGGTGGATCTAGCACTGGAGACCAAAGAATTAGGTATACATAATTGTGCATCTAAATCCAGAACATTTTATTCAGTCACGTCTTCTTGCCATCCTGAACTTAAATTGTTTATTAATCACGTTATTTGGCTAATCATGCTTTGAAGACGCGAAGAATCATTACCCATATTTAAGAGAAGGCTTTTGGGTGCCTTGCTAGACTTTGCTGCTAGAGAACTCCAAGTTCAGGTAAATGTGACATCTTAACCTGTCGGTTTGAAGCCTTTTCCTCGGGTGTAGCCTTATTCTTTCTTATTCAAGTGTTTTACTTATTCAAGGGGAAAACGTTTTGTGCTTTAGTTCCTTTTAGTTGTGTAACAGAAAGAGTTGCAATAATGTCTACATCCAGCTTTTCTTTTGCGGCAGACTGAAGTTATTGCTACAGCAGCTGCTGGCGTTGCAGCAGAGGGGTTATCACCAAAAGATGCCAAGGCAGAAGCAGATAATGCTGCGCAACTTTCAGTAGCTTTGGTGGAGAATGCAATCGTAATACTAATGCTTGTTGAGGATCATTTACGATTACAAAGCAAGCAATCTTGTGCTTCACGTGCTCCAGATGGTTCTAAATCCCTCTTTTCTCTTGCATCTCCCTTGAATAACCGCACCAATTCATCAACTACTGGTGATCGCGGATCATTATCTAGTCATCCTGGGGGACTACCTCTTGATGTAAGTACAGATACCTCCTAATGAATGCAAGAAAACAAACATGGGCTATCACTATTTTCCTATTTGTAGGATGGTTCATTTAGATTAATTTGTTCTCATTTCTTCATTCATAAAAATGTTTTGCATGCAGTGAATTTTGTTTCTTATCAAGGGAAATTTTTTTTTCTTTCCATTCCCTTCTGAAACATGGAAAAGGAAAATAAATTGGTATTTTATGGGTCATGTCAATTGGGCTTCATAAAGAGCTTTACCAAGATCAACAATTTTGCATGTCTTTTTTCGCTTAGGCGTTTTTTGAACTTTGAACTTTTTTGTTGAGGGATTTGTGCTTGTTGTGTGCTTGTTTTTTGATTCCACATTTTCTGGATGATTCCTCATGCTTTGTTTTGTTTTGTTTTATTGTTTTTTGTTTGTTTGTGTCTTCTTTTTTTATTTTTTTATTTTTTTATTTTTCTTTGTTTTTTTTGTTTTTTTTGTTTTGTTTTTGTTTTTTTTGTTTTTTTGTTTTTTTTGGTTTTTTTTTTTTTGTTTTGTTTTTGTTTTTTTTGTTTTTTTGTTTTTTTTGGTTTTTTTTTTATGTTTTGTTCTTTTTTTATTTTTTATTTTTTTTATTTTTTATTTTTGTAGGAATAAGGACCAAACTTCTTTATTCCAGTTAGTCTACTTTTGATTTTATCTTTCTCGACTTCTTCATTTTTGCACTCTATCAAACAGAGTGTTAGTTTTTTGTCATGGTATTCTGCTCTCATTTGCATTTATCCTTTTTCATGAGGCTCATTCACATGAGATTTTGTCTAGGTTCTCGCTACTGTGGCTGATGGGAATGGACAAGTCTCAACAACAGTGATGGAACATCTTACTGCTGCGGCAGCAGCTGAGCCTTATGAATCTGTGTCTTGTGCTTTTGTTTCATATGGAAGTTCTTCTGTGGATTTGGCCGAGGGATGGAAGTATAGGAGTCGATTGTGGTATGGTGTTGGGCTTTCTTCCAAAGAAGCTCCCTTTGGTGGTGGTGGTAGTGGCTGGGAATCTTGGAAGTCTGCACTGGAGAAGGATGCAAATGGAAACTGGGTTGAACTTCCCTTGGTAAAGAAATCTGTTGCAATGCTCCAAGCTCTTCTATTGGACGAATCTGGACTTGGTGGTGGTCTTGGGATAGGTGGTGGATCAGGAACTGGAATGGGGGGGATGACAGCTCTTTACCAGTTATTGGACAGTGATCAACCGTTCTTATGCATGCTTCGGATGGTTCTTCTTTCAATGAGGGAAGAAGATGATGGTGAAGATAGTATGCTCTTGTGGAATGTAAGCATAAATGAAGCAAAATCAGAAGGAAGGAAACCGCGTTCGGCATTGTTGTGGAGGTGTTTTAACCTGTACTTCTTTTCTCATGCATTTCCTAACAATAAAAACGTTCTTGGTTTTTTGGGTAGATAAATGAAAGTTTGAGAGAGGAAAAAACTCTTAATTTTCTTAACGTTTACAAGGAATACATGGAGATATATATAAAAGAGATGGCTGCATTATTCCAGCCATTAGTGCCGGTCCTAAATCAATTAATTAGGGGAGAATCCTCCACTAATAATGAAAGAGATAAACTATAGAACCTGGTAAATAATGATTCTCCTTATTGTTCTATACCAAAAATACACAAACAAAATCTCCAAACTTTCCTAATATAACTATGACTTAGAATTCCACAGTCCCCCTCAAGCTGGGTTGTAGATGTACATACACAGCTTGTGACTCAGCATGTCAAAGTTAGTTCTTGGAAGAGCTTTAGGTGATGTTTGGTAAGGGGATTCGTACCCTGATTCGAATCATGATTCATGGTTCACTACAGTGTTCTCTCACAAAAAATACACGTAAATAAAAAATAGTTCTAATCTCATGATTCTAATCCATGAACCAAACGTCTCCTTAGTGAGTATATCTGCAGTTTGGGACTTTGTAGGAGTATAAACTAGTTGCACAATCTCCTTCACAATCTTCTCTGTAATGAAATGCCGATCTATCTCAATGTGCTTTGTCTTGTCATGATGAACATGATTCTTAGCAATACTTATGGCAGCTTGGTTGTCATAAAACATCTGAATAGGCCTCTCTATTGTTACTCCAAGTTCACCAATTAGTCTCTGTATCCACATACCCTCACAAATGCCAAGAGCGAGTGCTCTAAATTCTGCTTCTGCACTGCTTTTTGAGACCATAGGCTGTTTCTTGCTCCTCCATGTCACCAAATTTCCCCAAACATAGGAACAATACCCAGATGTTGATCTCATGTCCGACACATCTCCTGCCCAGTCTGCATCTGTATAGATTTCTACATTCCTGTTGTCATTCTTCTTGTATAGTAGACCTTTGCCTGGAGTCATCTTAAGATACCGCAAAATCCTATTAACAGCACCCATATGTTCTTCTGTTGGTTTGTTCATAAATTGCTCACAACACTAACAGAAAAACCAATATCAGGTTGAGTGTGTGAAAGATAGATGAGTCGGCTTACAAGTCTCTCATATGCCCCCTGTCAACTGGGGTACTATCTTTTTCAGTCCCTATCTTCTTGGTTGGATCCATTGGAGTATCTGCAGGTTTACATCCAAGCATACCTGTCTCCTTTAGTAAATCTAAGACATATTTCCGTTGGGAGACAAATATACCTTTCTTTGATCGAGCCACCTCCATGCCTAGAAAATACTTGAGATACTCGAGGTCTTTGATCTCAAATTCCTTGGCGAGTAACTTCTTTAATCTCAATAGTTCCTCCTCATAGTCACCTGTTAGAATGATATCATCTACATACACAATCAGTACTGCTATTTTCTTCCTGGAGAGAACTTCACAAACAATGTATGATCTGCATGACATTGAGTATATCCATTCCTGATCATTGTCTAAGCAAACCTGTCAAACCATGCACGAGGGGATTGCTTAGTCCATACAGTGATTTCCTAAGTTTGCCCACTTGGTTATTAGTGAAAGAGGTTTCCAGTCCCGGTGGTATCTCCATATACACCTCCTCTTCTAGATCTCCGTTCAGGAATGCATTCTTGACATCTAGTTGATGTAATGGATAATCTTGATTTGCTGCTAAAGAGAAGAGTACTTTGATAGTGTTGAGTTTGGCCATTGGAGCAAATGTTTCTTGATAGTCTATTCCATAGGACTGAGTAAAACATTTAGCTACAAGTCGAGCTTTTAGTCTTTCTACACTTCCATCAGCCTTTTGTTTGATAGTGAAAATCCACTTACAGCCAACAAGTTTCTTTCCAGGAGGAAGATCTGAGATCACCCAAGTACTATTTTTCTCCAAAGCCCTGATTTCTTCACCAACTGCCTTCTTCCATTATGGACTTTTGAGGGCCTCTTGAATAGAATTAGGAACCTGCACACTATCAAGAATAGAGACAAACGTCTGGTAGGATGGTGACAATCCTTCATAAGAAACAAATCTGCAAATGGGATGGTTTGTGCATGTCCGTACACCCTTTCTTAAAGCAATTGGAATACCTGTATCATCAATAGTGGGAGCAGCAATTTCAAGATCAGGGGTTCTGTTACCTGAGTGAATTTTAGTAGGAGAAGGACTAGGCTTAGATTCTTGGTCATGTGTGAGTTGTGTTGAGTGCTCTATCTCCTTTTCAGATTTTTTCCTCCTAGTATAGACATGAAGCTCAGGACTTGCATTTTGTGGTGGTGATGACGTGGAGTGATTACGGATTGGAGTAGTAGTGACTGGAGATTGAGGTAAGTCTACAAGAGAATGGTTCTCGGATTGGGAATGATTTTCAGGTTGATTTGGAACTTGGAGTACATTCCCGGGTTGAGATGGAAGAATGGAATTACCGGACTGAGGAGGAGGTGAATGTTCAATGTCACTAGGAGTGTCCCAAAACTGATATTCTCTCGTACTCCCCCTGAATTTCAGGTTTTGGATAATAAGATTGATGTTCAAAGAAGGTCACATCCATTGAGTGAATATCACTTATAACCCTTTTGATTTGAGGAGTATCCAAGAAAAATGCATTTCATGGATCTAGGGTCCAATTTGCTACGGTGGTATTGATGTATGTGAACAAATGCTGAACATCCAAATACTTTAGGATCTAATGAAGAGAGAATTTTTGTATATGAGAAGTTTTGAAGAAGAACCTGATATGGAGTTTTGAATTTTAGGACTCTGGAAGGCATTCTATTGATGAGATATGATGCTGTAAGGACTGCTTCTCCCTAGAATTGTTTTGGAACATGAGAGACCGAGTGACCTCTAATAAGTGTATTTTTTCTTTCTGCTACCCCGTTTTGTTGGGGCGTGTCAACACAAGAACTCAGATGAACAATGCCCTGACGTAGGAGATAATCACCTAGGATAGTTTTGAAGTATTACTTGGCATTGTCAGTTTTTAGGACTTGAATTTTGTTGTTGAATTGTGTTTGTATCATGGAACTGAAATTTTGAAAGATTTGACCAACCTCAGATTTTTCTTTCATAAGAAATATCTAGGTTAGTCTGGTGTGATCATCTACAAATGATACAAACCATTGAGTTCCTGTTATATTTTTGACCCTTGAGGGACTCCATACATCACTGTGAATCATAGTAAAAGGTCGAGATGGTTTATATGGAAGACTAGGATAGACACTGCGAGTGTGTTTGGCAAGTTGACATATTTTGCATTTGAAGAAACTTGAACTTTTAGTGATGAATAAAGAAGGAAACATTTTTTCAAGATACATGAAATTTGGATGACCAAGACGATAGTGCCATAACATAACCTCACTATTTTTATTGACACTGGAATTTAAAACTGACTAACTCTTGAAAGACACATTTTGCAGATTGAGCTTGTCTTCTTAGGGTTCCATCATCTTTGAGGAGATAAAGTCTAGAACACATCTCAACACTGCCAATCTTCCTCCCCAAATTCAATTCCTGAAATTCACACAAGTTTGAGAAAAATTCAGACACACAGTTAAGATCATGAGTCAATTTGCTGATAGAGAGTAAATTGCAGTCCAAATTAGGAACATGTAAGACAGTGTTCAGAGTTAAGTCCTTTGTGATCTGGATTGAGCCTGTTCCCTCAACTTTTGAGAGGTATCCATCATCAATTCGGACTTCTCATTGCACAAACTATACTCATGAAAGATGGTTGCATCTCCCGTCATATGATCTGAAGCTCCAGAGTCAATAATCCATGTGTTTGGATGTCTTTTGTTGACTGTGAGAGCATTTGAAAAATTACCTTTCTGTGCTAACATCCCAATTCCAGAAGTAGAGGTACTCGGCTGAGCCATGAGATTCTGGCTAAAGAGTTTTTGTAAAACCTCAAGCTATTCCTTGGTGAAAGGACTTGTCTCCGGGGAAATAGAGTTCTCATCTTTGGTTGTAGTGTTTGCACGACTTTCTCTATCAGTCCTTGGCCGTGAGGGCTTCCAATCAGCAGGCTTCCTATGAAGTTTCCAGCAATTTTCTCGTAAGTGTCCTGGTTTGTGGCAATGATCACACCAGGGCTTCCTTTTCTTTGTCTGCTATCATTGTTGTTGGTCACTGGAGGTCCTCGGGTTGCAAGGGCAGATCCTTCAAGAGTTGGAGCGTGGTCTTGGGCTCCCATCATCACCTTTTCTTCTACTTTCTTCATGCCGTACTTCTGAGAATGCCTCCCTAACACTCGGCAGAGGCTTGGTTCCCATCACTCTCCCTCGAACTTCAACCATATCCTTGTTGAGTCCGAGAAGGAATTTGAATGTCCGTTTTTGCTCCACAATCTTCTTGTATAAAGCAGTGTCTTGAGGGCATTTCCACACGTAGGTTTCAAACATGTCTAATTGTTGCCAATATCGAGTGAGGGTGTTGAAATATTGAGTAACTGTGAGATCCCCCTGGCGCAGGTCGTGCAGAACCGTTTCAATTTGAAACAATTCTGAAGTGTTCTCTGAACTTGAGTACGTTTCTCTAGTAGCATCCCAAATCTCCTTTGCTGTCCCATACAAAAGGAAATTTTCTCCTATTTCATTATTCATGGAATTAATCAACCAAGACATCACCGTGCAATTCTCGGTTTTCCATACCCTAAATTTGGGATCATCCTTCCCAGGGGCTGTGACTTCATCCGTGAGGTACTTGTCTTTGCCTTTCCCACAGATAACCATCATCACGGATTGAGACCATTGAAGATAGTTATGGCCGTTAAGTTTGTGCCCCGTGATAAGAAGAGAGGAGTTCTCCGTTGTACCTCCATGGCTGCTTGCTGCTGCTGCAATTTCCGGATTTGAGGTTACTTCGGATGAGGAAGAGCTTTGTCTCTTAGTAGCCATGCCGAATTTGGTCATGCTGGATTCAGGAAATTAGAGAACTAGGGTTTCTTTTCTCTAGAGGTATGGCAGCTCTGATACCATGAAAGTTTGAGAGAGGAAAAAACTCTTATTTCTCTTAACGTTTACAAGGAATACAGGGAGATATATATACAAGAGATGGCTGTATTATTCCAGCCATTAGTACCGGTCCTAAATCAATTAATTAGGGGAGAATCCTCCACTAAAAGGAAAGAGATAAACTATAGAATCTGGTAAGTAATACCAGATTCTCCTTATTGTTCTATACCAAAAATACATAAACAAAATCTCTAAACTTTCCTAATATAACTTTGACTCAGAATTCCAACATGGAAATTGTTGAAACATTTCTTTTTTTATCAGAAACATTGCAGAAACTGTTGGTATGAAGTAATATTACAAGCAGTCTATGCCCTTTGTGTACTTCATATACAATGGAATAAAACATGATAATATAATATACATCATTATCCTTGCAAGGTGTTACTATTCTCTTAAGATTATAGGATGAAGATATCAGCAGCAAAGGAAAAAAGAAATAGGAATTGAGAAAATAATGTATTGTACCCAATAAGTTGCCCTAAGTGATTCAGGTAGTGACTTCTTGAGCGGAGGATTTGGAAGTTTTACGAACCTTTAGTCCATCTCTTTAGAAAGAAAAAAGATTTACTTCTGAAAATGTGTTCATTCATAAACATATTATTAGCTATTCTTTTTCCGGACCTTATGATAAGTGAACGCTTGTTTATTGTATTGGCTTTGGTCTTATGAACTGTTTTTGTTTCTTTTGAAAAATCTATTTTGATACCTTGCAGTGCCTTCTTTGTCCCTTCAATATTGTGGATCAGGGCTAATTCATATTACTGATTTACAGTGTGCTTTCACCGGTTCTAAACATGCCGATATCAGATTCTAAGAGACAGAGAGTGTTAGTAGCTTCTTGTGTTCTTTATTCTGAGGTTAGTTGCCTGCGTAAATTACTTGCATCTCTTCTTAGCCGTTACAAGTTTTCTTTTTTAACAACTATGGCATTATATAGCCATATTAAAAGTTTTCCATTGGTTTCCTTTTTCTGATCTAAAGAAAGAATTGATACCTTTCAGCTAAATCTTAACGGCGTTAACTGTTTGTCTGTTATCTATAGATGTGTTTGTTTATATGGTAGTGCTGATTGGATCTTGCAGATATATCATGCAGTTAGTAGGGACAGAAAGCCTCTTCGTAAACAGTATCTTGAGGCCATCATACCTCCTTTTGTTGCTGTTCTGAGAAGGTGGAGGCCACTCTTGGCTGGTATTCATGAACTTGCAACTGCTGATGGTTTGAATCCACTTATTGTCGATGACCGTGCATTAGCTGCAGATTCCCTCCCCGTAGAGGTTTCTAAATCACGTTTATGTATTTCTATGCATGAAGTCAACTACTCTTTTAACTAAATGCGTTCTCCCCTTCTATCAATATGACCCTTATTGGTAGTTTTGATGTTTCAAAAAATGGCCGCAAGTGTAAATATTCTTGTTTTGTCAATTCTAATTTTATTGCTTTACTATGATTATATAACATAGTTTTTTTATGCTTCATTTAGGATGTCGTATTTACTATGTAGGGAGATGCTTGTTTGTGTAAAGTATTTCAACAGTATAGGAGGGTTTATAATAAAGAGTTTCAAGCAGGAAGTTGTGTCTTGTTAAATGCATACAGCATACCCAAACATGTCATCCTTGCATAAATAAGGCATTATCTTTGTGCTTTAGTTCGGTTTCAAAACTTTTGGGTCACATTTTAGTTTTCTTCAGGCTGGTTCTCTCCTGTGGGAACAAGTATAATATCTTCTATTATTTTTAATCATATACGGGTTTTTCAGTTTTGTCTTTGATAGGAAAACTCTTCCTCTGCTTGTAAATTGCTATTTTTTCGGATAGAAGTTCTGTTTCTTTCAGAAGAAAAAACATATACAGGTTTTAAACGGTGTTTTATAGCTTCTGTGTAGCTCTATGATAGAGGACTATGTATCTTCATGTGCCTTGTCATTGCAAATTTTCATGTACAAACTTGAAGCTAGTTCAATTGGTGTTTCTGCTTCTATTATTTTGTTCACATAATTTGAACTAGTATCCATTTCCTTCTCCTTTTCAGGCCGCCCTGGCGATGATCTCTCCAGCTTGGGCTGCTGCTTTCGCATCACCACCTGCTGCAATGGCCCTTGCAATGATTGCTGCTGGCGCATCTGGTGGGGAAAATCCAGCTCCCACAATAACTGCTCAGCTTAAGCGTGACTCCTCGTTATTGGAGCGTAAAGTTACTAGGCTCCATACATTTTCAAGCTTTCCAAAACCTTTGGAGGGGCCTAACAAATCCTCAGCTCTTCCAAAGGACAAGGCTGCAGCAAAAGCTGCTGCCTTAGCTGCTGCACGAGATCTTGAGCGTAATGCGAAAATTGGTTCTGGGAGGGGTCTCAGTGCTGTGGCTATGGCCACATCTGCGCAGCGGAGGAATGCTAGTGATACGGAGCGTGTGAACAGATGGAATGTTGCTGAAGCAATGGGAGTTGCCTGGATGGAATGTTTGCAACCAGTTGATACAAAATCAGTCTACGGAAAAGATTTTAATGCTTTGTCCTATAAGTTTATTGCTGTCCTTGTTGCAAGTCTTGCTTTAGCAAGGAACATCCAAAGATCAGAGGTTTTATCAGTCCTTTTCTCCCTTATTTTTCACTACATATTGAGTTAGCACGCCATAATTATACTCCGGTTCTCCAGGTCGACAGGCGTGCTCAAGTAGACGTAATAGCTCGTCATCGTTTAGGCAATGGAATTCGAGCATGGCGTAAACTCATTCATTGCTTGCTAGAAATGAATTGTCTTTTTGGGCCATTTGCAGAACAGTTATGCAGTCCTCCACGTGTATGTGATTAGTTGATTATTTGTTACACTTCGTTTTCATATTGTTTTGTTTTCTTATGTTTTTAATGTTCTTCATTTTTTTTTTTTCGTTTTCTTTATTATCTTCCCGAGCAAATTTTTGTTTCTTGTAAAAAGGAAACCAATCTTACTTTCTCATTCTTCAAATTCTTCTTGCATTCATAATTATTTATTGTATTTTGATAGCCTTAGCCTTCTGCATCTTGTTCAGATTTTTATTATTCACGTTCTCTCAGAGATATCGCAACATTCTGTAGGTTTTTTGGAAACTAGACTTTATGGAAACTTCTTCTAGGATGAGACGATGTTTAAGGAGGAATTATAGAGGGTCAGATCATCTTGGTGCTGCTGCCAATTATGATGACCATGTTAACATAAAAGAAGATCAACAAAGTGTCATAAGTTCATCAAGTGCTCCTATTCTGGCAGCAGAAGCAATCTCGATGGATAGAGTAAATGAAGATGATGACCCAGTGGAAATTGATCATTTGGAAGGGAGGGCCTATGGTATAGAACAAAATGCGGAGAATCAATCAGAGTTCTCTGTAACAGCTGAGCAAACCGTGCCAGTCCCTGTGGCATCTGCTGATGTTCGACTTACTAATGATCAGGACTTGGTTGAAAGTTCATCAGCAGTTGCCCTTGGTTACGTTCCGAGTGAACTTGATGAAAGAATTGTTCTTGAGCTTCCTTCATCGATGGTTCGCCCGCTGAGAGTCATACGTGGAACTTTTCAAGTAAGTCTCATAAGCAAAACATCTAATGTCCTTCCTTTCTTTTACATGTATCATTGTAAGTTGTTTTGGTAATACTAAATAGTTATGAACTAATATCTTTTAACCTTTTCCACAAAAACTATGAGAGATACGTGCAAGAACTATCACACTTAAAAGCAACCAGGTCACTAATTACATGTCTTAATATTCATTCATTGAGTTGGCATGCGTATTTTCTCTCTTTGGTCTTTCTCCTCCAGTTTCACCTGTTATGTTTTCTTCTCTGTCTCTAAATCTCTTTCTTGTACTATTGTGCATAATAATTGGTATCGCTGGATATCTTCTATTTCTCAGAGAGTAGCACCTGAATATAACATTCTTTTAGGAATGTTCCTCGACATGAAAGTGGTGTACTCATATCTTACATTTAGTGCCATCATCTTCTGTCAAAACCTTTGACTTCTAAGAATTAACAATTCCTTCAGGTCACAACTAGAAGAATAAATTTCATAGTTGACAATAGTGAAAGCAATGCTGCAGTGGATGGGTTAAATAGCATGGAAGTGAGATATGAAGAAAAAGATCGCAGCTGGTTGATGTCTTCCCTCCATCAAATTTATAGCAGAAGGTAAAAGCATAGTAGATTATGATATTGTGGACTTATTGACGTTGATTGTTGGCATTACAATAATTTGATCATGAAACTAAATAGCAGTTTTACCTCTAGTTTGTTGTTATTGGTGGAAATATCAAGCTGTATTAGTGATTGTAAAGGTGTTTTGTCTTTGAATATTTCCATTGAAAAAGAAAAAGAAAAAAATCTACATTTTTTATTATAAACTCAGATTAATAATTCTCCTACATCTTAAACTAGATCTTATTTCTTTGTCACCTGCATATTGCTATTTGTCATTCTGGATAGAAGGAACCAGTCTTTCATTGTTTTCCAACTTATGGTGGTTTACTCCTGTTTTTTAGCAGTACCCATCCATACTACGCGTATTTTGAAATTAAGTAACTTCTACGAGTTTCAAGTTTGTGTCGTTCTGCATTTTCTTTTGTTTCATCTCATTTTGAAGGTTTGTTTCTGATACAGATATCTTCTAAGAAGAAGTGCTTTGGAACTTTTTATGATTGACCGTTCAAACTTCTTCTTTGATTTTGCGGTACTATATTTGCACTATGCCTACTCAAATATATCTAATATAGTTTTCTGCTTAAAGCCTACCTGCTGCAATACTTCTTGATATTGTTGACCCTTCTTTCCCATCGTTTGTCTCAGAGCACTGAAGGGCGAAGAAATGCATATCGTGCTATTGTACAAGCTCGTCCTCCTCATCTGAACAACATATATCTTGCAACTCCGGTTCTTCCCTATCTTTCTTGTCTTAATTAGGTTTCTAGCTGTTCTGGTAGTGCATATTGCATGTACTTACTCCAATCACAGCTTGGAGATGATGTTCAGTAATCTCAGAATTGGATACTGTAGTGCATATAGATCTTTCTTAAGTATATACTTGCTATGTCTAAGGGGCCGTTCAGTTCGCTGATTTGAGTTTTTAATTCGAGTTGAGATGTGACTTTATGTGAGAGCTTTTTACTATAACAAAAAAATTAGATGTGACTGTTTCTGAGAGCTTTTTACTGTAACAAAACTCGAATTCTAAACTCGAATCGGTGAAATGAACGGAGCCTAAATCTTTCTGAAATAAACCATTTTTTCTTTCTCATCTCTGTATTGACAATGTTGAGATATTTACAATTCAATCTTTGGTTTAGAGGCCGGAACAACTTCTGGAAAGAACTCAGCTTATGGAGCGCTGGGCTAGGTGGGAGGTATGAACTCTGGAAAAGATCTGGTTATTTCTTGAGATCTTCAGTGGTCATTTTAGTAACCTACAATTAACGTTACAAGTTACAACTCATTTTCCTTAAATTTCACCTGCATTTGTATGAAGAAAAGGGAAAATAATTAGTGGAACACAACTTCTGCTGTTCTGCAGATCAGCAATTTTGAATACTTGATGCAGCTGAATACATTGGCTGGGCGTAGTTATAATGATATTACTCAGGTGGATTTCTTTGGATAATTTCTCTTTGTATATGGATAAGTTCTCTGAATCTATCCCTCAGTCCCATTTATTTGTTGTCAGTACCCTGTTTTCCCATGGATTCTTTCGGATTACACTTCAGAGAGTTTGGATCTCATGGACAGTTCTTCTTACCGAGATCTTTCAAAGGTTGTATTATTTGAATTCTGGTTTAAATTATTGCAGAACTTTATAATGTTCACGAGGTTACTAAAGTGTTCATACATACTTGCAGCCTATCGGTGCACTAAATCCTGATCGACTGAAAAAATTTCAAGAGAGATATTCAAGCTTTGAGGATCCAGTCATCCCCAAATTTCATTATGGTTCACATTACTCAAGTGCTGGAACTGTATGTTTTTCTTTTCTTTCTTGTGTTCATGAAGATTGTTGATTCTTCTGGAATACTTGTCAGTCGAGTTCTCAATATAGATGTGTGTGTCTATATATATATACATATATTTATATATATAATGTTATATATATATATATATATATATACACGAGTCAGTGTATGCGGGTCTATATATAATGTAAAGACATATACTTGTCATATGTGCATATGTATTTTTTTTTATAAATAAAATACGTTATTCTTCACATGCATTATCCTATAAGGCTATAATCACTATAAGTTTATTGATTATTCCTCATTAAGTGTATGATTAAGTTCTTTTTTTTTCCTCCCTTTTTCTTTCTTTCTTTGTTATGTACTCTCCATTTCTTACTCAGAAAATAGGATGTTATACATATGAGATGCACTTTTGCTGATTGCTATAAAGTCACCAATATCCTCTTAGTCATATGCTCTTGTATAGTTATGATTACTTTTCCTTATCTCCTTATCTTATTTTGGCATTTCATTAGTTTTACTATTGGTAGCATCATTGATTTGTCTCTTTATTCTATTAAGAGATCCCTTATGCCAACTGATAAGCCCTTACTCAGGCAAGTATTCATTAAGAAGAATAAGAGGGTCCAGGGAGGTTAGAGTGACGTGGCAAGGCTGGATTACACTTCCTGGTTGATACAAAGCCAAAGCTTGTTAGGAAAGATTGTTAGTTGGCTAGTTAGTTATAGAAGGAAAGAAAAGAGTGAATAAAAGGCAGAGAGGGAGGTCGGAGAGGGATTAGGAAAATACTGAAGGAATAGTGGGAAATCTTGGAGTTGTTCCAAGTTGGGGAGGCTGCAGACCCTCGAAGATCTGCCATTTTCTTGTATTCTTCGATTGAATATCAATAAAGGATCATTCAATTCTTCTAATTCTCTCAAAGTTCTCTCATTACTGATATCAATTTCGCCTAGATTCTATCACCAACTTCATGATTTCTGACTTTTATTATTTGATTCTTTTACAGGTACTGTATTATCTTTTTAGAGTGGAACCATTTACAACTCTTTCCATTCAACTACAAGGCGGAAAATTTGATCATGCGGATCGGATGTTTTCAGATATTGCTGCTACTTGGGATGGAGTTCTTGAGGACATGAGTGATGTGAAGGAACTGGTACGGTCTCCATCTTGACCATTTCCGCTGACACCCCACTACCTGTTATTCTATGTCATAATGTATATTACATATATGCATGTATATATATGTATATATATGTATTTATGTGGTATGTATTGATATGTATATAAATTCCGTATTTTGGAAATGACTGCTTATGGAGGTTTAGGAATTTTCTTTTGAATCTAATACCTCTTTCTCTCTCTTCCCTTCCTTTTTAGGTTCCTGAGCTTTTCTACCTCCCTGAGATATTAACCAATGAAAACTCAATTGATTTTGGTACGACACAGTTAGGCGGAAAGCTTGGTATGTTCCTCAAATTACTTTGTGCTCGTGGCAGTGATAGAATGTCCGTGCAGTTTGACTGAAACTGAATGTTCTGTGTTTTGATTTTATTATCAGATTCCGTTAAACTTCCTCCTTGGGCCGAAAACCCTATAGATTTCATTCATAAGCATAAAATGGCTCTCGAGAGTGAGCATGTATCTGCACATTTGCACGAATGGATTGATCTTATCTTTGGGTAGGGTTCTTACTTTCTGAAACAAGGTTTTATAATTCTCCTGATTGCGTTGTGTGTGTGTTTTTTTTTTCCTTTTTTTTTCTACTTTTTTTTTATTTTTATTTTTTTAAAAAAGTCATTTACTTTTTCGAAGTTGGTGAGAGATACAGAGATGTGAAATCTGTCTCCTTTGGATCAACTCACTTGTATTTCCATTAACAAATTGGATTTTTCAGGTATAAGCAACGAGGAAAAGAAGCTATATTGGCAAATAATGTTTTCTTTTACATTACCTATGAAGGGACTGTTGATATTGATAAAATCTCGAACCCAGTAAGTCCAATTTGATATTTTTTATTTTATTTATTGTTGCTGGGATTCAATTAGCTATTCCAAACGTTTGATTGATATAAATTGTTTTCGTTAAAAAACAAATTGTTTTAGTTAAAAATCTTTTCCCTACTTTTTGTCCCAATTAAAGATACAAAAGCGTGCCACACAAGATCAAATTGCTTACTTTGGGCAAACACCATCCCAACTTCTTACCGTGCCTCATATGAAAAGGATGCCATTAGCGGACGCCCTTCATGTGCAGGTAAATGCTGATTATTCTTATTATTATTTTCTATTTCCTTTTGGCTAAACCCTTCATCTATTTAAGTCCAATTGGATATAGAATATAAATTACAGGAATCGAAATTAGAATGTCAATGAGATCTAAAGAAAAAGAGTAGAGAAATTATAATATTTTAAGAGGCAATATACAAATCTCAATTGTCCTAATATTCACCTTACGTTGATACACCAATGACATCAAATATCAATTCAAATCTTGCCAATCGTTTCCATTCCTCATCTCTTTCCTATAGTTCCACAGAAATCACACCAAAGTTAGCTTCAAGCCTTCAACCTCCCTAATTCATTATAGCCAATAAACAATTCAAGCTTTTGAGCAGTGCAAATTCCCTTTAGCCATCATCGTTGGCTTATGAGGGGGGGAGAAGGGAACAGAGGAGGAGAAGAAGAAGAAGAAGAGGAGGATTGAATATAATATATATATATATAATCTATGAACACTAGCTGCGAAATATCACACTTGTATGAACAATTCATACAGTTGAGGCACATAAAGTTTCTGGATTAAACTTGATATTAAAATTTTGAGGTGTATAAAATTAAAATTTATATAGATTTGTGGGCACATTAATGAATTTTATGGAGGCAAACATTTAAAGAGTTTTAGTATTTTTCTCTGGGAGGAGGTAAATAACCATTTCTTGGGTGGGCGGATAAAAATTAATGGCCGAATTTTTTTGGGAAGTACGAATTTGGTGAATTCGGGCAAATCCCCATGACCAAATTGGACACATTTGTCTGTGACCAAATTTGATAGATTTGTCTCTGACCAAATTTGGTAAATCCTTATCGGATTTATTCCTGTGAAATTCCAAATTAAATATACTATTATCAATGTTTAATTAATATTTACTATTTTTTTATTTACATAATATTTACTAACTTTTTTGGTTAATAAACTCATTTTCAAAGTAAAATAATTGGCTATTTACTACATTAAAAATTTTAAAACGTCTATTTACCGTAATTTCCTTTCTTTTTATATATCTTATTTCTTTGGGGTAGGATAACGTGATGTAGGCTGGTTTTTCTTTTCTCTCTTCTTTTTTTTTTAAAAATTTTATTTTGTTTTCTCAACTATGATTTCTTGCTCTCCTTTTCTCCTTTGTATTAAAAGAAGATCACTTGTTGCAAGAGTGCCAGTAGGTTAAAATTTTTGCCCACCTAATTGCCAAACTTTTGAGAATATTTTGTAATTTAGTAAGGTTTCTTTTTATTATTATTATTCTTTTTAAGCTGGTAGGCTTGGTAAAAATGACGATAATGATAATAGCAATGAGAACATAAAAATTGTGAAGGGTACATAAGCACTAGCAGTAGTATCAACTGTTAATGTTACAAACAATTAAGAAAATCATGATTTGGCTTTTTCACTCAGACCATATTCCGGAACCCAAAGGAGGTCAAACCATATTCCGTCCCTGCACCTGAACGCTGCAATCTACCTGCTGCTGCAATTCATGCATCTTCAGATACTGTTGTAATCGTGGATATAAATGCACCAGCAGCTCATGTTGCTCAGCACAAGTGGCAGCCAAACACACCTGATGGTCAGGGTACACCATTCCTCTTTCAACATGGAAAGGCTGCAGTAAGCTCTAGTGGTGGAACATTTATGCGGATGTTCAAAGGGCCGTCTGGGGTTGGTTCTGATGATTGGCATTTCCCACAAGCATTAGCTTTTGCTACATCAGGGATTAGAAGCTCATCTATTGTTTCCATAACATGGGATAAGGAAATTATCACTGGTAAGTTTCCGCATATACATTTAATCATAATCGCCTTCTTAATTTTATGCGACATTAACTCGAGTCTAAGGAATTATCTTCCTGACATATGAAGTGATCTTTATATCAAAATAGCACGTTATGTTCGTTTTAGAGCATTTATAATGTTATTATAAGATTCCTGTACATATGACCTCTCAAAAGTACTTTTTCTTTTAAATCTAGGTACATGTTTAGTTTAGTTCAGGACACAATTTAATACGTTTGACAAACTATTATGTCATCTGCTTTTCAAGCTCAAGCTATACCATCTGGGTTATTAAATGAAATCCTTCTGTCAGTTTAAACTTTAGTTTAGGTATAAATGGTTGTTAAAATAATTCAACTTGCAGAGAAAACAAGGAGACGCTTATAATGCAAAGGGAATGGAAAAGGAACCTTGACTTTGGATTTAAGTTAACACTTTGCCACTTGGGCTATGATATTAATTTAATTTGAGATTTCCTAGTCCTTCCAGCTTTCACATTTGATGCATCGTTTGCGTATTTTTTCACATAGTAGCAGTCTGCCAGTCCTATATTTGAGCGTGTCATGTCCATTGTGTAATTTTCCATTTTTGAAGGCAGTTTATTGTATTTGAAGATAACGGAGCTGACAATCTGTTTGGATTTTACCTAGGTGGACACGTGGATAACAGTATCAAGCTAATATCATTGGATGGAGCAAAAACATTAGAAACGGCCCATGGGCATTGTGCTTCAGTCACTTGTCTTGGTCTTTCACCTGATAGCAGCTATCTTGTGACAGGAAGCCGAGACACTACTGTGTTACTTTGGAGAATACATCGGGCATTTACCTCTCAGTCGAGCAGCATATTGAACCCTCAGGCTGGTGCCAGTACAGCAAATTCACCCAGCAGTAGTAATTCAAGCACATTGGCAGAGAAAAGCAGGAGACGTCACATAGAAGGTCCCATATATGTTCTCCGTGGCCACCAAAGTGAAATTCTCTGTTGTTGCGTTAGCTCAGATCTTGGACTTGTTGTGTCATGCTCCCATTCATCTGATGTCTTGTTACATTCTATAAGAAGAGGTCGATTGGTAAGAAGACTGCCTGGTATCAGGGCCAATGCTGTCTGCCTTTCATCCGAAGGAGTTATACTCACTTGGAACAAATCACAACATAGTCTCAGGACCTTTACTCTTAACGGGGTACCAATTTCTAGTATTCAACTTCCTTTCACCAGAACTATCAGTTGCATTGAAATTTCTGTTGACGGACGAAGTGCTCTAATTGGAATAAACACATGTATGGAAAATGACGAACCCAATAGCTGGGATTTGAAGCTGAAGAAGCCAGGATTTGACAATATTAATCAGGAATCTGACAAGAATGAAGAAATAAACAGATTGGATCTTCCATCACCTTCAATCTGCTTCTTGGATCTGCATACTTTGAAGGTATGAGAAAATGGGTAAAATGAGTCAAGCTCACATGTTTTATCATTGCTGTCCATTTAGGAGATTCTGTTATAATGCTGGTGTGTGTTAGGTGATTACTTAAGTTTACACACTGTGACCCGTTTAGATGAAAATCTGAGTGTTTTTTCTTCCATGCGTGCTCTAGGTAGAGCTAAGTTAGAATAAGCTCTGGAGCAGGGTAAAATGTTCTATTCCAAATTGAGGAATCTAAAAACAAATTTTAGTAACTCTGTTGATAATTGATTCCCTCTTGCTTTTTTCTTTTCATTTCTTTTTCTTTTGTTGCTTGCGTACACACACATTTCTTGTCTTTTCTTGACATTTGACATGATAACCCGGTTTCAGGCTCATATCCTTTGCATGTCTTAGCTTCTTTTGCGCATTCATGAAAAATCGGTTTTGCTCATCATATATATGTTAGTTTCCTTTAACATGCTGGCTACTTATTAATAATATGCTTCTCATGGTTACTTATTAGTAATATGCTTTTCTTATTTTTGCAGATATTTCATATCCTGAAGTTAGTAGAGGGACAGGATATTACCGCTCTTGCTTTAAACAATGACAACACGAATCTTCTGGTGTCTACCGCTGATAAGCAGTTGATAATCTTCACAGATCCCACTGTAAGTTGAATCTGGTTCTTCTCATTGTTCATCACTTGATTGTATTAAAAAGTATTATTTTTTCTGTTTATCACCTTTTAAAATAAAAGCACAATACAGTGAAAACAAGGGAACAATACAGTACAACATTTCAGTTTAAATTTTGATAGTTGAGAAGAGATCAAAAGTTGTCTTACTAGTGAAAATCATTGTGTCTTGCCACTATACAACCAATTAGCCAATAGCGCAGAGTGCTCGCACATACGCATGCATCTTATATAAACAATAAAGTAAAAAATGATGGTAACACTCGTTATTATTAACGATAATGGTTAATTTAGCGTCACATTTGTGAATCACGTTCTTGTTGCTTGCAGTTGAGCTTGAAGGTGGTGGATCAGATGCTCAAACTCGGCTGGGAAGGTGATGGACTCAGCCCCCTCATTAGATAATATTTACAGGCCATACTTAGAGGGATACTGAAGATATCCCATTACCCAAAAAATTACCATTAGGAAAGTATTGCAAGGGCATGTTGAATGGCCCCGCCTTCTGCATGTCGAGTCGTTCAGTTCATTTGCGGTTCGGAAATGTAACATGTATCCGATAAAGAACTACCTAAATATCTCAAGAGTTCTTAGGTTATTAGATATACAGGGGGTTTCTTTTTTGTTTTTGTTTTCGCTTTTTCCTCTATTCAATTGGCTGTATGTATGTTACCTTGAGATACGAGGAGTCTTGGGCTGTTGAGGCTCGAGCAGTTGATGGAAAATTTTTTGACAAATTAGGGAATGAAAATATAGAAATTAATTCTTTTATGTTTTGGATTTTACTTGGCTACAACGATTTGTTAACAAAAGAAACAGAAACTTTGCTTTCTTATGTAAAACTGAATTTCAATACTATTATAAATTGGAGTTAAAATTCGTTAATATTACCTCATTTGTGTTTTACTACCGATTTTCATTATATTTTGTCTTGTTCCAAATTGAAATGATAGCTCTAGCAATTGTATTGGAGTGTTAGGCACAATTCACAAGCATGAAACGTTTGCATAACCATATCTTCAGTATCACTTTGTCAGGGCACGATTCACATTCACAATAATTTTGAGGGCCAAAAAAAAAAAAAAAAAAAAAAACAGTAGAACAAAATTTGAAAAATAAAATACAACAACATTCTCATGAGATAGTTCCTCACAGATTGCAAAGAGTAAACGACCGTGGACGGGCCGCTTACGACTGCCTGAAAATACTGAGTTTTTACTTGAGTCCGAGCCGGACTTGCCTGAAAAATTTGGGTCACCCGCCCGAGCTTGAAAATGCCCTTGAACGGGCCGCGGGCTTATATTTGGCTGCCTGAACCCGGCCGGGCCGCCCGAATAGACCGAATTTTTTTTAATATTTTTTAATTTTTATAATTATTAAGTTAGTTTGTGTTAAAATTATATAAAAATCAAAATCAACATTCAACAGACATTATTAACACAATTGAATAAATTAATCATGTATATTAATGATGTATATTAAATTCGTAATTTATGATTGTCTCGTTAAAAACCTTACCAAGAAAAATCCAATTAGGACAAAAACTTGGCAAGGAAAAAAGAGTGCAATCATTTTGTAACGAATTACAAATTTTACAAACTTACAAAGTTATACAATTACAAATACAATGTCAAAAGTAAATACATATTTACAAATTACAAATTTACAATTTAATTTGAAGCTGAAGGATCGTCTTCAAAATTAAATGTTAATCGATTAAATTCATCGATCCATTCTTGGCTTGCCAGCGAAATTGTATCCTATAGATGTTGAGCGGCCCGATCCCAATCCTTAATGCAAACTAAGGCTTCAACAATATCCCTTTGCAATGCATTCCGGCGTTCCTCAAGTATTCTTCCTATCGTACTGAAGGCTTGTTCGGATGAAATAATGGAGACTGGGATAAAAAATATATCCATTGTCAATCGAGTTAGGATTGACCAAGTTAATGCCCGTGCCTTCCACCATTAAACTAAGTTAAACGATTCTGCCGTACCGTCGACTACTAAGCCTTCACTAAGGTACGCCATAAGCTCGTTGAAGCTGCTGCCACCGCTGCCACTGCCACTTGTTGATGAAGATTCACTCACAACTTCTGTTTGAGTTGTCTTCTTCTTCTTCTTCAACCCGAAAACATTTAAGAATGAATGTGGGTTTTCGTCTTGTTGTTGCGGTTCCTGTACTCTATGAGGTACTCTAAACCTAATCTCATATTTACTATAGATCGAAAATATTTTTTCCTTTATTATTGGATATTGGTTCGAACAATTGATGCCAAAAAATTCACGTAAGTTATCTAAACCACTTTCTAAACCTTCTAATTTTAATCTAGGATCAAAAGTAGCACTTAAACCATACAACAAAGGCAACTTAGACTAATATTTTATAAATTTCTTTTCCATTGAATGGATAGGAACTGCTAAGATTGGGTCCTCCCTATATTCGCTAAATAAAATACCAATTCGTAAAAGTTCTTCTAAAGCTAAAGGTGATGTTGGATAATATGTTCCACTAAGTTTTAGAGTCACTTCATGAAACCTACCTAAAAATTGATACAAAACTTCGGCAATTTGCCAATCATATGCGTCTATATGATTTACTCATACTTTTGCACACATATAGTTTGTTATAGCATCCTTATAGGATGCATTGTTTTGAAGCATTATGTAAGTTGAGTTCCATCTTATAGGCATATCTAACGCTAATGCGCTATGATGTATATTTAATACTTGTAAGAACCTAAACCAATATTCTTGTCTTTGGTTACTACTTTGAATCCATGCAAGGCTATCTCTAATTCTTTTAATGTGATTACATTTCTTTTAAACCAGATTTAACAATTAAATTAATTACGTAACATGCACAACGTTGGTGGAAAATTGTACCGTCACCGAATAAACTTAAATCATTTTCAAAGAACTCAATTG